CAGCAGGGCTTGCGCTCCTCTTGCGACTTCGGGGCGCCGCGCGGGTGCCCGCCTGCGGCCACAATCAAAAAGTATCCCCGCCAGCCCATTCAGAGACCCTGACCTTGGGAGCTGACGGGAAAAGGGGCGAAGAGACACATCCAGTGAAACACAGCGAGCAACCAGGGTGAATTGAAAAATCTCTGGGAACAAAAGGGTGGCCTTCGGAGGCCTCTTCGGGCCATCCCTGGAGGCCGCGTGGAGGCGAGGGGAGGACGAGGAAGACGACGACGACGACGACGACGACGATCAGGAAGAGGAGGAACAGGAACAGGAAGACGACGGCCCTCTTGAGGCCGTCTTGGCGCCCTCTTGTGGCCCTCTTGGAACCTCCAGGGGCCCCCAATGATCAATGTCCCTAAGGTTGTTGAAGGATTCTGTGTTCTCAGAAGGGTCTTGAGGGGTCGCCGAGAGCAGTTGGAACCGTCTTGTGGCCCTCTTGAGGCCTCTTGGAGGCATGATGGAGGTCACCTTGAGCGATCTTGCGCTATCTGAGGCATCTTGGAGGCGATCTTGGGACTTCGGAGGCCCTCTTGGAGCCATCTTGAGCGAAAAGGGGCCCTCAGATGACTCGCGGCCCCTCCCCCAAAAAAACCTTGGGAGGGGAGGGGGAGGGTACCCCTCCCCGAAGGAAAAATGGGTTTCTGAGGAAGAGGAAAAAACTATTCAGACCACGTGCGCCCAGAGTGCTGGTGGGATCAACATGCGGTGGGCGGGGAGTCGCATGTGGACCCTGGTCCTGGGGCCTTCGGTGGAGTTCGCTATGGGGCCACGAGGCGTTTGAGGGGTGTGCCGACATGGACATGCAGTGGGCGGGGTATCGCACGTGGACGCTGCCACGGGGGCCGCCAGTGGAGCTCCCAATGGGACCACGAAGCGGGTGAGGGGCGTGCCGGCATGGGCATGCGGCGGGCGGGGAGCCGCACATGGACCCTGCCACTGGAACTGGTAGATTGATGCGGAGAGCAGAAGCAAGGAGGGAGAGGAGGTGGAGGGGGAGGAGGAGGAGGAGGGAAGAACGCGGGGCGCTGTCTTTTCATAATGAGGAGTCAGCACTATAGGATGGTTGGGTAAAGGGAAGTTTTCTGGTCCTTCCCTTCGTCCGCGCACATGCCTCCGGCCATGATTTCTCTTGGCCGCCTTCTTCTTGGCCGCCGCACGAGAGGTAAGGGGCGGGCGGAAGACTCTGGCCTCCCAGTTGGGGTTGGAGCAAGTGGGGTCGCAGGACCCCGCCGCATCGCCAAATCATCGGCGATGCATCGGCGATGCATCGGCAACATCGGCGTGGATGAACTTGGGCTCCACATCGAGCCACATCGCCGATGTATCGGCGATGCGGCGGGAGCATCGGCGTTTTCAGCGATGCATCGGCGAAGCCAGGGTGGAGGAAATCGGGTTCCACATCGAGCAACATCGCCGACGAATCGGCTATGCGGTGCGATCCCCCGACCCCATCTGCTCCAGCCTCGTTTGAGAGGCCTACACAAACGCGGAGGCCACGGAGGCAGCGAAGGAGGGGGGTGGACATGGAGGCATTGACAGAGGCGGGGGCGGCGGCGGGGGAAGGAGGGAGACGGAGGAGGAGGAGGAGGAGGAGGAGGATCAGGAGGAGCAGGAGGAGCAGGAGCAGGAGGGGTTGCAGCCTGAATCCACCCGTGATTGTTCCGGCTCGAGAAAAGCTGCCTGCGCTGCCGCACACATCCGCGTGTAGTAGCGTTACACGGTTACTGTTGCGAGGCAATGGCGATGCATGCTTATGGCGTGAGCGTGCGGCACCGTTGTATGAGCTTTATTTATGCTTGCATCCGTAGATGAGCTTTGCGGATGCCTATGACGGACTTCCTCGGGTGTCTCGATAAAGTGGGTGTCTACGAGGGATTTGGGGTGTCCGATGGGTGTTTGTTACATGTCTTGCAGCCATGTTGGGGAGTCTGATCGACAGCTGGGGGATCGGGGCTGGCAAAAAAGGTTATGGAGCTGTCTTGGGTGTCATGTCGCCGTTTTGGGTCGTCTCGGGCAGTTTGTGAGGTACTCATCTTGAGGTTACATTGGGCCATCTTTTGGCCGTCGTATGCTGGTGTTGGCCCGTCTGGAGGCGCTCTCGAAGTGGAAAGTTATATGAGAAGACCAGGCGGCCGTTAGAATGTTGGAGGGAGCTTATCTGGGCACACACACTGATCGGTAGGCATAAGGACTGAATGTGTTTCAAAGGAGTCACACTTTGTGGATCCCAAGTGCGAGAGAATGCAGACCCATGCGCGCAGGCACAACACACAACATCCATAGGCGCAAGTTGTCATGGCGCCCGGTCTCTATCAGTCAAACAAGTGCGTGACCGAAACAACTATGACCTAACACGTGTCCGAACCGAAGCTGGATGCTTCATTTCGGTCATGCTCGGGCGCGGTCTGATGATTTCTGGCGCCAGTTTCGGTCACACTCGGGGAGATGTTCGGGCACAGTTTCGGTCACTACATCCCCTTTACAGCGACGAGGCTACGTTAAGGTTGCTCTGAACCACCTCCAGGCCATCCTTCCGATCCAGGAGAATCAACTCAGAGTTGTTTCTGACAAGAGTGTTCAGATACAAGTAAAAACCGCTGCAGATGGTACGCCGCCCGTCTATGCCGACCGTCGTCCTGGGGAGAGCCAGCGCTTCAGTAGTGCATGCATTTCGTGTTGACTGGTAATGTGTGCAGGTGTTACATCAGTTTACGCCTCGAACGGTGCAGACGTCATCCCCCTTGCGAACTCGAAGCGTCGACCTCAGAGCAATGCAGCTTCCAGCATTGCAGAAGCATTGCGAACTCTGCAAGTTTTGATCCGGCGTCTTGCAAATTATGCGCCCACTCATTCGACGAGTTACGTTGTAGTGCCTGGAAGTGTTGTTCAACTGCAGACATCGACGCATCTTCTTTTGGCAATGCCACGAAACCGATGTAGTTATTGCACGTCCAATTCACGATTGATGACACAATCGAGCGTTATGATGGGCACCCTGTGACGAAGCGCGTTGGCCGAATGACAGTTCCACGAAGGTCGAATTTAGTGTCATGATATGTACCGAGTTCGCGTCAAACGCCTCTTGGTGTATTTGTACGCTGCGTGGGCTCCAGTACTTTTCGTGACAATGCGATACTACGAAGTACGAGCATTTGTTTGAAGTGCCACCTATCAATGCTTTTGCTTAGGTGCGCTTGGCTGGACCTGCGTGTGGCCACAATATGATCTGCGCAACCAGGCCTCCCAAAGTAGTTCTGAGTTGGTGGGGTCGGAGGATCGCGCCGCATCGCCGACGTCGCCGATGCATCGCCGTTGTATCGGCGGTGCATCTGTGACGTGGCGCGACCTTCTGGCCCCATCTGCTTGGGCTCCATTTGGGAGGCCTCCATTTCAGGCAGGCTGGCGCGGAAGACGAAGGAGTGGGATCGAGACATTGGACTCCAGACCTCACGACCCCCTTCCCCTGGGCATCAGGCGGCCCATCCTGAGCCGTCGTTTGACAGCCTTGTGGCCCAACAACTTGCTCACGATAGGCCCAAGATGGCGAAACCAATGCCGTCTCGATGTTTCAGGCCGCTGCAATTTGGGAGACGAGGGAAGAAGGACAAATATGCTTGGAACAGTTTGTCCCCACAGTCAGCCAGAAGTTGCTTCCAAGACCTGGTCAGTTTTTGGTTGAAGCATTCGATTTGGAAAGTGCTAGCCTCCAAATGCTACGGTGTTGCGAGCGAGTGAGAGTCCCGACAGTTGAGTGTTTGCTTTTCTGTGGTGCGATGAAATTACAGGATCACTCCGTGGAGCTTGATCCCTTCAGGAGGAAAGAGAAACGAGTAGGAACATGAGGACGAGGAGATTTCGAAGTTGTGGAGTGGAAGTTGGAACGTTGATGGTTGAGCCAGTATGAAAGAAAACAGCTTTAAACATCAACATGTATGAATCGGAGGATCCCTACCACCGTCTGTAATCCCACGTGGTGTTTTGTGGGGCTGGGGCTTTGCATGGCCCGTCTGCGAAATCGGACAACACCATGCAGACTATAAAAAAGGTGACAAGACCTCCTCGGGCAGCGGGCAGCTTGTGGCTGCGCAGGCAGACAGCAGCAACCGTCATCGCCTTAACCACGAAGTCGCTCATTCCAAGGGAATGTCGGCGGTAGGCCAAGGGGGGAAGTGAGAGCGGGCTGGCCTTCTCAGAAAGCGGCGGGGCTTCTTAGAAGGCCGGATGGCTTCCGATAAGTTGTGGGTTCGGGCAAGGTTCAGAGGGCCTCTCAGAAGGCCGGAAGCTTTCTGCGCCTTCTGAGGCGGCCTGCCTCCTCCGCTTGCCCCCCTGGGTGCGCAGTCGACCATTCCAAGCGGGAAGCGGTGGCTGATGCCAGAGATTATGTTTTGCCCCACTGTCTACACGCAGCGATGGCCCGCAGCCTTCCCGTTGTGAGGCACGGCGTGCCCCATACGCCCACCCTCTTAGAGGACCACCCTTCTGTCTGTCTGTCTGTCTGTCTGTCTGTCTGTCTGTCTGTCTGTCTGTCTGTCTGTCTGTCTGTCCGTCTATGCAGGAGATGGATGACGAGGGCTCGGGAAGGAGGACAGGGCAGAACAGGAAGCTCTCGCCGACATCCACCAGCTGCTGCACGACTCAAAAGGCCAGCGGACGTCAGGGGGAAAGGCCTCCACCTCAAGAGACCTCGCGAAGGATCGGCGATCCTCAGGACGTGTGTTAGCCCAAGCGTGTCTTTATCCGCTCAGCTCCACCGACAGCTTGCAGCCTGTGGTGGCCCTCGTTGCGCCGCCTACATCATATTGGAGGGCCTCCGTGGCCAAGCACACGTTGGCGCCAGAACGCGTTTTGGGGGGTCATCGAAAGGAGGGGGGTGTGGCTCGGAGGCCAGCAGCCTCGGCCGCCCACGGTGTCTGCCTGCCCGCTGGCCCCTCTCCCCTGCCCCGCGGCCCCGCGCACAGGTTTGGCCTCGAGCCGCAGAGTCTGTACGACGGGGCAACGCAGCAGACGGTCTGGAGCGGCCTGGAGCCTCTCCCTCCGGCTCTCGGTGGTTGCTAGAGGTGCCCCTTGCCGAGTTGATGTTAAAGACGTTGGGGACGTGGTTGGTTCGTTTTAAACTGTTCGGTGTTCGGCCAACCAAAACGGGAAACAAGAACTGCAGACCCAAACGTAACAAATGCAGTATGATACGAAATTGAGCCGAAAACGGCGCGAACGATAGTGCCAAAACGGAAAAACCCAACGGGGGGGAACCATCATGTCTATCTTGAAAACGGGAAAACAACATTACAGCGCGAAATCATCTAAGGCCCCCGGCCCACGGTGTCCCCAGAATTTCGCTCCATGTTGGAGCCTCTGGACCCAACTGTGCCTTCTGAGGACCTCCATCCTGGGACGGGGACAGATCTGGCAACACTCGAAGCTCCCTCGGGAGCGTCCAGGAAGAAAGGGGTTAGGACGTTCGTTGGTTATTTGAAGGAATTCTCGTTCGCTTTTGGAGGTATTCTTGCCTCGGGATGCTCCCCAGCCGTTGCGCCTCGTCGAGAGCTTCCCAGGGATGTCCGAATCGTCCCGAACGGCCGCTGGAGGCCCGAGTTATGACCCGCAAACCACCAGGCGTCGACGGACCAGGGGTATGCATGTCATTGCCCCTTTCATGACATCTCCGACATGTTCTGGCCCCTCCTCTTCTCTTATCACTTCCTCTGGCGTGCATCGGCCCATGATTCGCAGCCCCTCTTCTTTCTAACCCCCCTCTTCGGCGGACCCGGCTCTCTCGTAAAGGGCCTACCGATGTCTGTTGTCCCTCCACTCGCGCTGGAGCTTTCACGACTTCTCCAGATTCGCTGGGATAGCTCTACATTTGGATTAACCTTGGCGTATCGGAACTTACCATGGAGTGCCTCAGTGTACATAGGTCTGTCTAACTTTGTGACTTTGTCCCCAGAAATCGATTAGAGAAGAGCCGTCAAGCCCTTGATGAGTCTCTCCATGGCCCCAGAATCGACGACACTGCCGACCAGGACCTTGGAAAGTGCGCCAGTGGATCTCCCTGAATACACTACAGGGGGGGGGGTCCAGAACCCCCCCCCCCTTTCCCCCCCCTTCAAGGGGGGAGGGGTCCGGACTCCCCCCCCCCTCCCTCCCTTCAGGGGAGGGGGGGTCCCGAACCCCCCCCCCTCTCCCTTGAAGGGGGGGGGGTCCGGACCCCCCCCCCTCCCCCCATTGGCGCTGGAAGGGGGGGAGGTGATTCGGACCCCCCTTTCCTCGTGTAGGGAGTACGGAGTTGGGAGTAGGGGGTGGTGAGTAGTGAGTAGTGAGTTAGTGCGTAGTGAGTAGTGAGTATTGGGTAGTGAGTAGTGGGTAGTGAGTGGCGAGTAGGGAGTAGGGAGTAGGGAGTGGCCAGTAGTGACTAGTGAAAAGTGAGTAGTGTGTACTGATAAGTGAGCAGTGAGTGGCGAGTAGTGAGTAGCGAGTAGCGAGTAGCGAGCATTGCGTAGGGAGTAGGGAGTAATGTGTAGTGGTAGTGAGTAGTGGGTATTGAGTAATGGGTGGCGAGTAGTGATTAGTGAGTAGTGGGGAGTGCGTAGTGCGTAGTGAGTAGTGAGTAGTGAGTAGTGAGTTGTGAATAGTGAGAAGTGAGTAGTGAGTAGTGAGTAGCGAGTAGTGAGTAGTGAGTAGTGAGTAGTGAGTATTGAGTAGAACGGAGTTCGTAGTGAGTAGTGAGTAGTGAGTAGTGATGAATAGAGAGTACTGGATAGTGGCAGTGGGTAGTGAGTAGTGAGTAGCGAGTAGGGGGTAGGGAGTAGTGAGTAGTGAGGACCGAGGTGGGCGTAGTGAGTAGTGAGTAGCGAACAGAGAGTAGTCAATAGTGAGTACTGGGTAGTGAGTAGTGAGTAACGAGTAGGATGTAGCCAGTAGTGAGTAGGGAGTACGGAGTAGGGAGTAGTGAGCAGTGAGTAGTAAGAAGTGGGTAGCGAATAGTGGGTAGTGAGTAGCGATTGGTGAGTAGTGGGTAGTGAGTAGTGACTAGTGACTAGTGAGTTGTGATTCGTGGTCAGAGACTATGTAGTGATTAGTGAGTAGGGAGTAGTATAGTGACTAGTGAATAGTGAGTAGCGGGGAGTGAGTAGTGAGTATTGAACAGCGAGTATGGCAGTAGCGAGTAGTGAGTACTGAGTACTGTGTAGTCAGTATTGTGTATGAGTAGGGAGTAGCGAGTAGCGAGTAGTGGGTAGTGAGTAGTGATTTGTGGGCACTGAGTAGTTCGTAGTGAGTAGTGAGTAGTGGATAGCGGGTAGTGGGTAATCAGTAGTGATTAGTGAGTAGTGAGTAGGAAATAGGGAGTAGTGCTTGGTGAGTAGTGAGTATTGAGCAGGGGGTAGTGAGGAGCGAGTACTGAGTAGCAGGTAGGGAGGAGTGAGTAGCGAGTAGTGGGTGGTGGGTAGTGAGTAGTGGATAGTGAGTAGGGAGTCGTGAGTAGTGAGTAGGGGGGTAGTGAGAAGTGAAA